GTTCTGATTTTTTATCATTTTGTGTAACATATTAATAATCTCACTATGGGACGTTTTGACTGACGGCACCCCATATATTAACTGAATACATTATCAAATGTAACAGATATTAAAAATATGAATTTCACAAAAATTGCAACATAAATTTCTACTAATCTTTAATTATTCGTTAGTATAAAGTATTTTATTTCATTCATTCTATACTCATGAAAAATGGTTTACTTTTTCTAGGTTTTATATTGTCACCCGATTTTCGGAATATATAGTTTTTAAACCATTTCTCTTGTTGTTAAGAACACGTAATTTGTCAACTTACCAGTTTTAAATATGATTATACTCATTCCAAAGTTCATTGATTACTGTAGCATTCGGTATTTATGGATTCTTAATATATTCAAAAATTTTCTGATTTTATAACAGCTTTCTCTTTACTCTTTATTTATCGTATATTCTTTATTTAAATAATTTAGGTATTTTATCATTCCTATTTTTATACAAATTAGCCAAAATAATATTATATATGTTGCTCTACTTTGATGCTAACAAGACCTCTAATTATTTTGTAATTTTACTTCTTAATCTTGCTCGTGATCTACGTCTATTCATTTTTTATTTAGGTCATTTCGGAACAGTATCATTATTTTCTAATGCGGAAACTAGGCTGCGTAGTAATTTGCTACATAGCCTACGTATGTGCCTATCCATAGGCATAGGTGATCCAACTTTATAACCAATTAATATTTTAGTAAAGAAATTCACCCGTACTACAAAGATTCTACTATTATATATTCTGTATGTTATATAAGAAATGCAGAGTGTTTACTTCTATCTAATTTGTCCATTACTATTTAATGATTTCTTATAAGTAATGTATATTTCATACATAGCAAACTTCAAATATCGTATATTATTGGATCAAATTTTATTTACATTTTAAACAACCCCAAAAATCATGTTTCGTTCATATATATACCATAAATTTGATCAATTTATAAGATAAACAGACAATTTATGTTCGTTATTATACAGCAAACACGATCAAGTACGTACATACGTATGTACGTTCACATGTACTCCTGGCGATCGACTAAAGCCTGGTGCATCATGAAATTACTCAGTTTTCCAATTTTTAATTAACCCCGACTAATATTAGGACTAGGTTAGTTTTGGGATAATCACTTAGTAAAATCGCATCTATGACACTTTTACTTAGTGAATTAAGACCAGTTTAGACAGCCATTTTTATATTTTTCGTGGTTTTGTCCAGGTTGCATATCGGGTGAGTTCGTGATGCACCAGGCTTTAATTGATCCCTAGTTCTTTCTAGTACAACCCTAAAAGTTTTTTGTCGAACTCATATATTTATAGATTTTTTGAGGCTAAGAATTATCAGGACTGAGCCAATAGCATATACAGTACGTACAAAAGACGCAAATGAAAAACTTTGAAATTTCAACTAACATCTAGCGCTATGAAATTTCATAAAATTCTAAAAATCTATTCCACATATTTATATATTGTACGATGTATTTTATGTAGATTAATATTATAATAGCTTATTGTCTACTATATTACCCAGTAATTTACTTCACTATTTATATAAGTTTGGAAATCGATAAAAATTGAGGGATAAATGATATGAGAGTAAAGTATCATTAAAAGTATCATTCATTACCATGGTTGATCGAGACCAAGACTTTCAACAACAAGTACAGTGCAGGACAGCATAAGACATTCAATGCACCAAATTTTAAAAAAGTTTTATGATAAAAATGATAAAAAAAAATATTACCCAATCAAATTTCTTAAAATTGACAAAATTTTAAAAATCATATATTTTAAATTGTAATAACTTTTTTAAAATTAAAAATTTTAAAAATCCCTCTTCAGATTTGTTATTTAAATAAAAAAACAATAAAATTGAAAGAATGATTTTTATTTTAATTTGTTTAAAAAAAGGTATAATAAATTGGATATCTTATGCTGTCCCGCACTGTATAAAATCTTTTTCTAAATAAGTAATTTGCTTGACTAGAGTAATCTTTGAAACCATCAATATTTATTTGGTTGAAATATGATGAGATGGTGATTCAATGTTTTGAATAACAGAAGTTATTCTACATGTAATAGTAAGATCTAAATAATAGTCAGTCTTTCCTGAATAAGGTACTTTATAGGAATAAGTTTTTCTCATCATTTGCAGGGAATAACCAGATGAACTATATTGCGGAGCAATGGCAGTAGGAAAAACAAATCGAACTTTTTCAGATTCAGCTTCATGTTTTAATTCGGTTACGTATGTGATTCTAATAATAACCGTTTGACCAGTCATGATATTGCCAATGGAGCATTGGAAAACATCTGGGAGTTGTTCTTCGATGAGGTAAGCCCCATAACCTTCTATGAACAAATTTGAATATTATGTGTTAACAAACTATGTATGTACGATGTATGTACAATAATTTAAATATTAATTATTTGATGTTACCTGAATGACCTCGTAATATTCTTGCACGGCCTGTCTAGCTTTTTGACTATTCCTTTAATGTTTTTCTTTCCATCAATTTCAGCTTCAAATCCACATACTGCTGCAGCTTCATGAAGTGGGAATTTGTAAATGGCTTCTATCGTATTCTTTTCAACATTTTTATATGTTTGACATACCATTGCTAGATTAGATGAGCAAAGGTATTAGTTACATTAAATATTATATCATAAAACTATAATAATATTTAAATATGTGAATTAATTTACTTTTTGCATCATATCAACGACTAATTAAATTTAAAAAGAAAGTTAGTAACATAAAATAAAAATATATTGCATGCAATAAATTGTATATTTGTAAAAAGAAATATTACTGTTCGTCTCAAAAGAAACATTTTGCAAAGGAACAGGATTTGGACGATTCCCAGCAATGAAAATGACCCATATAGTTGCATTCTTTTATAAGATACAGGATAGTTTTAGATGTTGTAAAAATGTTAAGGATACACTCCCGTTATTTTATACATAGCAAATTTAAACCTACTGCGTATATGGATTACGTACGCACTAAAACATACAATCTTTTTATTTGTTTAACATACCAGAGATATTCTCTTACCACCATAAAATTTTTATAGCCATTTTAATGATAATATGTAGCTGTCACTGGTCAATCGCAATATCTTTAGTTAACGCTGATTAAATTTAACAAAATTAGCAAAATACTTTATATTTTTAAATATTAAGCCAACGTTGAGTTCTAAGCCAATATAAATTAGCTTAAGAACAAAGCAATAGTTATTTTTAGTACCTTAGCACAATGTTGCTACTATAAATTAGCTTGGTCGTGTGGCAGTTTCGTAGCCTGAATTAATTTAACGTGATGCTACAACTGTTTTAGGTGAACAATGCAAGTTTATACACACATGAGTAAGAGTTTTTAAATGTGCAAGAATACTGGAATGTTATAAAATATTTATGCAAATGTTATGTAAAATTTTTATATTATACTTATATTGTTATAAAATCTATATTTGTGTAAACAAAAAAAAAAATTTAATTTGCAAATGTTTACTTGCAACTGTGCAAGTAACATTGTTCTGAATTTTAAACCTGGTTAGTAATTAATAAGTAATTCGCTTTTCCAAGTATACTATTCCTATTTAATAATGGCAAAGCTAATATTACGATAAACATGCCTGACCGATTATAACTAAGCTTTTCGTGTAAATTCTAAAAATTAAATTGATTGGAAGTTGAATCTTCCTACTTTAATTGGTCAAATATTAATTTATTTTAATTGACTAACCATATTGTCATAGCTGATTTTTGTATATAATCTTTTGAAACAAAAAAAGCATAAAATGCGGTAATTGATGCTTAAAAAATTGATATAAAAAAACTTAAATAGCCAAAAAAAACTTCAAAGCTTCACATTAGTATAGATCAAATGAAAACTAATTACAGAATTATAGAATTATATGTTGGTAAGCAATCATATTCATTCAGTTTTCAATGGCCTTTTAAAATTTATGAAGCATTTAATTTACACTATTAATTGATACATTACAATAGCTATTACAAATTTTGATTTTAGAATTTCATCTTCGATCACATTAATTTGAAACATTTTAATTATAGTTTGTAGGTTATTGATCATCTAAAATGCTTAGTCTTTTTGTAAATAGATTATACGAGCAGTAATAGATTTCACATTTTTATGTTTTCATTTGGCGACATTTATTCATGAAATTTAAAGGCTAGAATACATTTTAGGACTTTTTACTAATCTGAAATATTTCGTATTCTTCCACTGAAAAACTTGAGACGCCAACAGAATTGAATGTAGATGTATCTCTAATTCGTTTTTCATATGAAGTTAAACGGTTCAAACAGGTATTAGAATCACAAAGGATCAGATCACAGGAATCACTACCACCACCGAAAGCTGGACCGCTACGAGAATTGCAATAAATTGCATATTGTGGGTTTTTTACACGACTTAAAATAGAATCTTTAATAGTACCATTTTTTAATGAAAAAATAAAACACTCGTCACATTTCTGATGTTTTCCGGAAACCGGTTTATCCCATCCAATAGGATTATAGCCCCCAAGAATTTCATCAGTGCCTTTAACCTTCATAATTACAACAACATTTGTTTTCTTATTGCATAAATTCCAAAATGATGCGGGAGTAAAACCATCATTGGTTCCGCGAAGAAGTAATTTAAATTCATACGGGATATCTGTTACAGAATACTCTCTTTTATCAATCCATGAAGTAATCTCGGCTGCATGTACTTCATTAATAATTGCTGAAAATGGATCTGTCGCTCTGGATGGTAAGGTTGGTTTTAAAACTACACGAGTTGGAAGGATTACTGATGATATCGGTCGGTCTGGAGATAAAAATCTTTTGATTATATCATCCCATAAATTTTTATCAAGTAACTGTTGATACGGTTGTAAATTATCAATAATATCACCCCCAGATATTTGGAAATAACGAATATGAGGTAAACAATTCTTCAAAGTAGTCTTCATAGCTAAAAAATTTTCATTAGACCAGTTTTTAGGATCAGATGGTAGTCCTGGATTTTGTGCAATTCCCCATTTGATTATATAATTCCAAATTTTTACTTCTTCCAGTTGTAAATCATCTCGTTTAATAAGTGAAACTAATGTATTTTCTTGAATAGAAGTAAAGTCTTCTGATTCAAAAATTTTATCTGGATACTTTACCATAATATCATTGCACCAATTTTGCAATTCTTGAAATGCATTATTTTGAAAACCTTTTTGACATATACGAGAAAAATTTAAACGAAGCCAAGAAGCCTTTGTTTCAATTAAATAAATTTCAAGACGCTTAGTAAGTTCTTCAAAGAAAAATTCACAAGTAATAACCATTAGATCAAAAATAAATAATGTATCAAGGTTTTCTAATGAAACTATTCCACCGTAGATATACCTTTAAATTAAAATTTTACAGTACATTAATTTTACATTGAAACTTTTTTAATATTTTTAAAATATTTTAAATTTGTAAAGTATTATATAGTTACTTGATGATAATTTCAAATTGTTGAATAGTAACATTTTTTATATTAATCGTTTTAATGTTGTTCTTATCTCTATAAACGTTTTTCAATTCATTACGAAAATATAATGACCTATATTTTAAAATTGCTGAATGCGCTCTAAATGTTTTGGTATTTGGAGATTCGCCAACATTGATCAATACGTTAAAATCTTCCTCATCATCAAGAAGTTCAAGACAATTATTCGAAAGCTTTTCGAAAAATTTTAATGTCATTTTTTCGATAAATAGTTCTGATTATCCGGAATGTAACGGAACACTTATAGTTCTGCAGTCACGTTTTGTGTGACGGAACACATACGTAGTTCTGCAGTCACTATTTGTCAGCATAAGTGATCGGCATTAGCACTTATTGTGAGCTGGAAAAATTTGACTGGAATTACTCAAAACTTTATTAATAAAATCGCAGCCACCCATTGAGTGATCATTGAAAAAAAAGTTAAAAAGTTTATTCCGGCCAGAAATTAGTAAACAATTATGTAATGCGGGTCAAAATTTTGCTGATCCACGGCCGTTACTATTCAAAATCGAGGATCTGCCTGTGGGGCTAACAATACCAGTCGCTTATTATGATCCTATTAAAAAAATTTCGCTTAAGAAAAAACATTTCGCAATTAGTTTAAGGTTAGGGTCCTACCAGTAAGTTGGTATTTGGGTTAAATGGCTATAGTTATAGTAAAATTTCCGAGGAAAAAATTTTGCTAGTACGCAGAAGGCACTGTCATAAGCGTTTTTTTGTTGATTTGATTTTTTTCACTTCTTTTACGTTACATCTGATCATGAAATCTGATTGGCTATCGAAATTTTTTAGATTGGTATTTTAAACACTGTTTCTGGTCTTAGACTAATAGAAAAAATTGGTCTTAAGATCAGACTAGTTCAGAACAATCTGGTTTATAAGTACAATAATCATTACAAAACCTGGACAAAAATGGATCAGACCCGACTATCAACATCCTTAATACTAAAAATACAAGTTTCATATTTTTATTGTCAGATTTTATATTTTTAAACTTGGCGTAGCTATAGAAACTCTTCTTTACGATGGTCACAATATGAAAGTGTAACTAATTGTGTAGTATTTGACCAATTTGATCAGTACTTTGCCACTAAATCAGACCAGCTAGATCATGATTAATTATTAACATGTTTGGTCTGGCCTAACTCTGAAAAAAATTAATATTAATTATTTTTTTTATTATATAGATATTATATCTGTATGACAACTTTATTCAATTAACAAACCAATCTGTTAAGACGCATTTACAAATCATATGGAAGGAAATATTTTCAAATAAAATTTGTTTTTAGATAAAATTAATAAAAGATTTTTATAATTTCTAAAGTTAAAAATAAATACAAAATTTTATCTTAAATAAATATTTTCAAATCACTAAGTGTTTAAATGCTAGTATTTTATATAAAATATTATCAATATTAAAGCAATTATTCATCAGCCCACTTTTTAACCCATTCTTTAACTTTCTCCAAAATCTCATTAATCTTTTGTTCATCTCCATCAACTTCTTTTTTCAAGACTTTTTTGGCTTTTTCATAACACATTTCACATTCATCCTTAAATGTTTCAAACATTATAATTTCCAAATATGCCATTGCTAATGCCAAACATAATACATTCTCATTTTCAATTCCAATAACTTCAAAATCTTTAAAATCATTTTTACCAAACCAAGAATAAAAGTTAGTAGATGGTAAAAATGATCCATTAAAAGATTGGAAATCGAGAAAATTATAAAGAGTTTCAATATATGGAGGTTTTGATTTTACAGAAGTAGTTGGTAAAACCGGTGCAAAAGAATCACTAAATTGATAATCGCCACTGCAGTAAGAAAAATCCGAATCCTCTAAAGACGACTCATCAGAGAATTGAAAAGAGGCACACCGTGGAGCTGAAATTAAAGCTGAACAAGCCACAGAATTAACAATATTATTAACCCCTAACCCTTGTATTTTTACTTGATTACGACGAGCACCTAGTAGCATTGACAAATCATCATTACAATTGATCACTTTTGGATCATAATAGTCAGATTAAAACAGTATATTACTTACTTCTCGCATAAATGGGAACTGAAGTAGGATGTGCATTAAGAGGAGGAAGTGGGACTATTCTTTGGGCTGGTAAACTTTTGGCTTCGGTCACAAACTTATTATCTCTTTCATCAATTGCAAGAAAACTAATAAAGTTAAAAAAAGTGATTAATATTCATATTGTAAAAAATAATTGTGTAAGAAAAAAATTTATAAAAATTACCTTGTATATTTAGAAGCCAAATTATACATTACACCTAATTTTACAATTTGTTCACGAATAAATGAGTTTGGTATACTTTTCCCCACATTTTTTGAATGTTTATGAATAAATGAAGTTCCATCTTCAAGATCTTGAATAACTTTTCTGGCAGCAAGTGTATGTATTTTTGATCCTTGTAAAACTACGGGATCCAATGGAATAGAAAGCTTCATAGGGCCATCATGAGAAATTGCACTTAATGTAATTTCTTTGCAAGCTTCAACACCTTTTTCTAAAAAGCAATAAACTATGAATCGGGCACCAGGATAAATTGGTGGAATTAAATATGGAGCTTGTTGAATTTTTATGTCTGTAAAGATGTTTTTAATAGGAGATGGGGGTGTAGTATTATCGCTAAAGAAACTAATAGTTGGTTTATTGGATGTATTAGTTTCTATTGGTAAAGAATCTTCAATGATTTGGTCAGTCCAAGTAATATTATAGTCCTTAATAGGAGGTTTTATAGCATTTTTTAACATTCCCAAAATCTTTTTGTCCATTCTTTCAGTATTTGTAACAAATTGAGAATATCCTTTACCAGCACGGGCAACAGAATCAATTAAATTATGAGAAACTGAATCACCAATTCCAATTGAAAAGAATCTTAAATCATCTTTTTTCTTTTCTTCACAAGATTTAATAAGTTCTACAATTTGATCAACATTGTAAACCTGACCATCAGTAAGAAAGAAAACGGAAGTTGGCATATCATTCCTTGAGTTTTCAAAAGCCCATTTTAGAGGATTATAAATTTCAGTTCCTCCATAATTTGCAGTCATTTCTTGTGCATGTTTGAGAGCTTTTGAGAAACTTCCTTCGGAATAAGGTTGACTCTTTTCAAATAGAGAATCAAAGTGGGAACCGAATGATACCACATTAAATAAACAATTTTCAGGTAATGAACGAAGAAGTAATTGGAGTGCCTCGGATGCTTTTTTAATAGGCTCACCATCCATTGAACCAGATCTATTACAACAGTATTTATTAATATTATAGTATAATAATGCTTATTGTTATATGTTATATTTT